GCCAAGGAGAAGCCGCCGCCGCCGCCCTCGCACCGCGGCCCGGCCGACAGCCTGTCCACCGCAGCCGGGGCGGCCGAGCTGGGCCCCGAGGGCGCGGGCAAAGGCCGCGGGCCCGGCGAGCAGGACTGGGTCAACAGGCCCAAGACCGTGCGAGACACGCTGCTGGCGCTGCACCAGCACGGCCACTCGGGGCCCTTCGAGAGCAAGTTTAAGAAGGAGCCGGCCCTGACTGCAGGCAGGTTGTTGGGTTTCGAGGCCAACGGGGCCAACGGGTCTAAAGCAGGTAGGGGCGGCTGTGCAGCCAGGGGGTCTAGGGGAGAAGAGGGGCGGAGAGCAGAGGAGGGGGTGCGCTTTCCATTCACCATTCTCCCCCGGCCCCGAAACAACAAACACCCAACTTCCTGCTCTGCCTCAGGCGGAACCAGCGCTTAGTGGCAACGTGTTCATGTGCTGAAGCAGCATAACAGAGATGAGTCAGACCAGGCTGATAGGCACTGACACAGGGTTTTCCTTTCCCAGCACATTCTTGGATGGGAGCATGAGGCACCAGTCACCTTTTAACCTGTGGGGGGGCGTTCACAATCATATGCACAGTTGACCGGGGTACCTGCATGCGTGTGTAAGAATAGACAGGGACAGGCCGTTTTCTGTGTGTCTTTTCCTTTTAACTGGTATAGTGCCTCAGAGCCCTGTAAGTCTGTTTTAAGTGGCACGTGTTCTTGAAACTCATGTGAGTTGTTATACACCAGCTTTTGGAGAATAGGCATTCTTTGGCGAGTTTTGTTTCGTGTTAGTAAAAGATCTTTTTCAGTGCCAGGTCATTTATCCCCTCTCTTTCCCTTTTATTTTCTTTGTTTTTCCAGTTGCAAGAACAGCAAGGAAGAGGAAGCCTTCTCCAGAGCCGGAAGGTGAAGTCGGGCCCCCTAAGATCAATGGAGAGGCCCAGCCGTGGCTGTCCACGTCCACAGAAGGGCTCAAGATCCCCATTACGCCTACGTCCTCTTTTGTGTCGCCACCACCACCCACTGCCTCACCTCATTCCAACCGGACCACACCGCCTGAAGCGGCCCAGAACGGCCAGTCCCCCATGGCAGCCCTGATCTTAGTAGCAGACAATGCGGGGGGCAGCCACGCCTCGAAAGATGCCAACCAGGTGCACTCCACTACCAGGAGGAATAGCAGCAGCCCACCCTCTCCGTCCGCCATGAACCAAAGAAGGCTAGGCCCCAGAGAGGTGGGGGGCCAGGGGGCAGGCAGCACAGGAGGACTGGAGCCAGTGCACCCCGCCAGCCTCCCGGACTCCTCTCTGGCAGCCAGCGCCCCGCTGTGCTGCACCCTCTGCCACGAGCGGCTGGAGGACACCCACTTTGTGCAGTGCCCGTCCGTCCCTTCGCACAAGTTCTGCTTCCCTTGCTCCAGACAAAGCATCAAACAGCAGGGCGCCAGTGGAGAGGTCTATTGTCCCAGTGGGGAAAAATGCCCTCTTGTGGGCTCCAATGTCCCCTGGGCCTTTATGCAAGGGGAAATTGCAACCATCCTTGCTGGAGATGTGAAAGTGAAAAAAGAGAGAGACTCGTGACTTTCCGGTTTCAGAAAAACCCAATGGTTACCCTTAACTAGAACTGCTTGAATTGTATATATATCTCCATATATATATATATATCCAAGACAAGGGAAATGTAGACTTCATAAACATGGCTGTATAATTTTGATTTTTTTGAATACATTGTGTTTCTATTTTTTTTTTTGACGACAAAAGGTATGTACTTAAAAAGGCATTTTTCTCTTTTGTTAACGTTATTAGCATATCTCCGTGCTTTATTACCCCGGTGACAGTTACCGTTCGATGTAGGCTGTGACTTGCGCTGCTTTTTTAGAGCACTTGGCATATCAGAAATGCTTCTAGCTGTATTTGTATGCACTTATTTTAAAAAGAAAAAAAAAAGCCAAATACATTTTCTGACATTGTAAGATTGCCTTACTGTCTGTTATTCCTTATCGCTGGCCCCTTTCTCAGGCTGGAGGCCAACTGGTGGAGAAGGAAAGGAAGTGAGCGAGAGGGGCACTGCTGTGAAGCGGGCATGCCACTGGGCAGTGTCACCACGTCCCCCCCATACATTGTCCTTTTAGAGCAATAGGAAGTAGATTTTGAGTCTTTCTCGATTTTGTTCTTAAAGTTCAGTTGTTGGGATATTGATGACTGAGAGTTGCTGCTGAGAGATTTTCAGGACTGTGGTTTGGGGGAGGGGGGATTTTTTTTTAAGGCAAAGTTGACCACTGTTCACTGCCCACGTGATCAGTTGTAAGATTACAATGCTGCATGCAAGTTGGTTACATAATACACAATTCAGTGACTCAAGGCAGTGATAACGGATGGTGGTGTGTACAAGATGGCACTGCCATCTTTGAACAGAGCCTGGCTCTGCAGCGCCACTCGGTCTTTCAGAACATCCTGGAGCTCTGTCTGTTGTTTGTCGTTTCCTTTGAAAAGAGTCGAAAGACAAGTTACAGTCCAGGTGAACTTGGAGATTGTGGGATTGGTTTTGTTTCTGTTTTGTGTTTTGTTCTGTTTTTTTTTAATCATTTCCCTGTAGTGCTCTGGCTGTTGATACTATCACCTACACCCTGTTTCTAGTGCGTGCTGAATACAGTATGGTACAATGACAGTAAGAGCGCGTGGGGCTGCCAGGACAGCCCGTGGGCATATCAGTGACAGCCCAGACGGGGGTGGAGGAAACCTGTAATTTCCTTCGTACATGTGTTTGAAATACCAAGTGAATAATGCTGTTCTTCTGGAAAAAAAAAATGATAAACTAGTGAAAATTCAAGAAAGGGTTTGACATCATAAGCCCCACCTCTGAAATTATTTTTAGAAGCCTTTTGTAAACTAATTTCTTTTGATCACTCTTTTGCATCAGCAAAATGATTTTTTAAACCAATAAATCATCAGTTACTAGAATCACAGTGATACTGGTTTTTCTTTTGTGCTGTTATGATTTTTAACATTGACAGGAACACTAAAGCCCTCTGTTCAGGTGTTTGTAACTTGGCCCTCTAATTAGGCTGAATCATGGCTTCAAGGTCTGCTACCACTTACGTGTATCCTTCACAACTGAGCTTCTGTTTTAATCTGAAAATATAGATTGTTACCCACTTTGGATTCTTTTTCAGTTATGTTTTTGTCTTTCTTTTTTAAATTGCTTGAATACTTTTTAATGGTCGAGTTATTGACACTTGAAAATCAGATACTGCACCAGATACAGTATTTCTTGTGGTGTTTTTAATGAGTGCACCTATTACTAATGCTGTGCAAATTCATGTTACCGGTCATTGTTATACTGCAAACAGGCTTGCATGATTAACCAGTTTGTTGTTACCCTTTTTTTTTAATTGGAGTATCTATGACTCAGATCAGACTGGTTTCTCTTATGTAAATGCACACATGCAGAAATACAGAATCAATTTTACATGCCCATAAAGACATTTGTGAAGTCAACTCTTATATGGTCTGTTGTATAAATGTGTACCTAGGCACTTTATGATAAACTGGAATTTGACCTCATAGATGTTACAAGTTGATCAGTCATTTGACCTAATTTGTGATAGCTGTCTGTATGCTTTGCAATCTTAATACAGATAAGCTTTCCAAAAAGATTAATAAAGAACCATCCTGCTGTGTTGAAATAAGTCTATCCAGCTGTGGAAAAGGCAACCTATGGTTTCTCTGTGCTGGTGTTTAAGAGGGAGAAAATGAACAGCTTGAAAGGGCTGTGTGTCGAGGTTACTCCAATCAAAAAATAAGAGTCCGACCGGCCCTTGGGTGGCCTTGCAGAAGGCTCGCAGCTGGAAAGTGTTGATGTGGGTTATTTTTCTGGCGTTCTCTTAAGTTAAAAAGTTAACCGTGGGACATGGGTTTGATCTTTTGTTGCACCTGATGACAGTGCAGAGACTCTCCACAGCTGGATAAAGATGTCAGAAAGCTACTTACTGTACATGGGCAGTATCAGATTTCAGATCCTAATATTTCAGCTGTGCTTTGAATGCTCAAAATATTAGGGGATGGGGTGTTGGAGCTTTCCCCTTTTTTGCTTTAACAGTTTATAGAATTTAACAGATGTACCGTCTTTCATGTGGCCTCACATTAAGAGTTATGAGAACGTACACATGGTTTACAACTTTTACTATATACCTTTCCTTGGCCACCAAGTATTTTAAAAGAGTGCCACCTTTTAACCTTTACTTTTTTTAAGTTGAAGGTGATACTTTTTCTATATATGATGAAAACTCATGTCAACTGAAGTGAGTGTAATCTCAGATATCAACATTATTATATTTTAAAATCACGCTATGGAAATATCACCTGCATTCTGTCATATGTCAGATTTACAGTACCTTTTTTTTTCTTTAACTTTTAGCATTAAATAAAAATAAAATTGGGAGCACTGAACATTTTCCGAGGCCTTTTTTAATTGTTTAAAGTAAGCTCAGAACGGCTGTTGTTTTAACCACCAGTGGCAATGTGACCGAAGGGTGTGTGGTGGGGTCGGGGTTTGCCTGGAACTGCAGGAGAGAATAACGAGATAAAAGACACGGAACAAAAAGGCAACTGATGGAGGGGAGAAAAGTGCTAGGGACTGGGGAGCGGGCAGCTGGGGAGGGGAAACAGATAAGGAGCTGAGCTGAACAAAGTGCAGCCAGAAAGCACTTGTTTATTTTTCAACTTGCAGCCGAGCCAGCCATTCTGCAGTAGTCGATTGGAGGGAGAAGACAGTGACGACACCGAAAAGACTGTCAGGAAGAGCTGCTGCTCTCTGGAAAGCTTTGGAGTAAAACAGCCATGTTGGGCCATAGGAAATGCACTGAAGACAAAAGGGGAGGGGAAAAATAAACGGAAAAAATGCCTACCTTTTGGAAAGCTTTGGAATAAAGTCAGAGCCAAAGCCATGTGTGAGCTTTATGGATACCCTGACACCTAAATTTATAAATAGAGATAAAAAAGGTGGAAAGTCCTGAGATACTCTTGCGAACTGCTGTCTGCTCTCACATAGTAAGACATTTCCTAGATGTTTGCGCTTTACTCTTTTTATTGATCAGTGGCTTGGCAGACTTCTCCATGGAAGGAACTTGTGAAACTTAACAGTTGTCAGATAAGGTACACATAGACTTACTATATGTTTTAAATTAAACAGCAAAAGTTAAATGTGTAGTTGAATACATTTTCATCGGAGGTGGTCCGTTAACTTGGGGAGCCCATCAATATATGTATTTTAATTTTTTTTAATTAGTAGCCTCTTTAAGGCAGTTTTCAAGAAACCGTATTCTTAACAAGTTACCTAGAGATTAAAATACACAGCATGTCTTGTTTAATAACAAGGTTAAAAGGAATGTTAAACTATTAGTTTTTGTTTAACTTAAAGATGCTAAATTTTATCTTTAGTGAAATTTAAAATAGTACAGCCTGCAGAAGTGATTTTTCAAATCTCAAAAATGCCTCCCAAAGTAAACTTTAATGATTGCATTTAGTTTTCAGTTAAACCAAACAAACCAGACCCTTGATGTGGTAGATGTCTTTGTTTATTCCCCAAAGTGGGAGAAAAAGCTAAAGGGAAAAACATGGAGCTCCTTTCAATTCCTAGACTTTTAAGTCCTTCGTTACTCAAAGTTGTTTTGCATATGATTTATCGATGGTTTTATTTGGTTAGTGAAGAGTAAAATGTTTCTCTTCCTGATTCCAAAGTGTATACGTGGAATCATTCAGAAAAATGTTTAGTCGTGTGTAGGCCACTGGAAGCCCTGAGTCACCCTCATTTGCTTGCCTTTTCTTCGACGGGAACAGTGAAAAGACACGCCTTTCCTCTGTCATAGACCAAGGGCAGAGGCACCAGTGAACAGAATACAGATTTACCTTTTCATCTACTTCATCTGCTGGGGTTCTAGAAATAGGGGTGGGGATACTGTTTAACTCCTTCAGTGCCACTGGGTAGGCCTGACAGCAACAGTGTGGATTACAATACAGTTGGTTACAATTAAATAAAAATTACGGGTGTGACTTCCCAGACCCTCAGCTCTCTAGATTGCTTGTTGCTGTTTCTGTTGACAGCCTGCATTTTCCTCAAAAGTTAGGAACCCCTCACAGTAATTTAAAAGGCACAAAAATATACAAAAAGTCAATTTGTAAGTTGCTCAAGAGAAAATGACTGGATTTATGGATTATCTGTGGATTCCTCTATTAATCCCCAGACAAATCCATAATTAGTAAGTGATAGTCACCCTATCCCAACTTAGCCTTAACAAAATAATTTATACCCAATTCAACAGTGGACTTCGTTTTAACTCATCAGTCTGTTACTTGCTCCTTCCTCATGTCAACACAACTTTACTTAAAATGCTCGATTTAAAATAACTTTGTTGAGAGGGAGGCTCAGGAGTAGAGTGCCTGCTTAGTGTGCACAAGGTCCTGGGTTCAATCCCCAGTACCTCCATCAAAGTAATAATAATAAGTAAACCTAATTTCCTCCACCACTTAAAAATCTGAGGTATAACTTACTGGGTATTTTAAATTATAGAATATGAAATCTACATCTGCACTCGTCTTTATCACAGAAAGTTGTGCGCTTCTCTGTGGTGCTGAATTGCATAAAAAATCCATGCAATCCACAAGAAAGGTATTTTAGGGCAAGAAGCATACCTTAGGCAAATCATTTAGACACTGGGTCTTAAAGCTGTTTTTAATCTGAAAAACAATGGAGTCAAATCTCCTTAGTAGACAATCCTATTAGAATGGTATAAACAGTTCCTACTAGAATAGAATCTTAAATATTCCTTTGGAAAAAAAAATGTAGGCTAGCCCTTTAAGATTCAAAATCATAGCATAACAAGTCTTCAGTGCATGAAGAATTTATCACAAAGCCAGCCTTGAGAATGCTCTAAGAGACGACTTTTCTCCTAGGTCAGACAAGGTCTGGAGACTAGGCTGCAGGATTCCTAGTTTCAATTGCAAGCATCAGTGCACTGGCTGATCTCATCCTTTGAATGGGCTTTAGAAGTTCAATTGCATAATCTGAAGAGCCTCCTCCAGCAATTCAGAAGACACCCTTGATGCTGAGATAAGACATCCTGTATAGAGTAATATGTCACATTGCAATGCTTCTAAATATAGTTCACACTTTGGGGAAAATGAACTGTGTTATATAATCTGTAGGCCCCATCACTTACCACTTTTACTTAGCAATTCAATTGCTATTTCATTCTTTGTATTTTATTTCTTCAGTTAACACCCAGATGCCCATGAGGGGCCGGGCATCTTGCACAGTCACAAGTGAGTCATGTTTTGTTGTGTGGATACACAGGTAGCCACTTTAGCAGATAAACATTTAGGTCGCTGTTTATTTCTCTGCCATTTAGAAAACAGCTTTCCTATGACAGTGCAAATAGAATGTTTTACATTGCAAATATGGCTATATTGCCAGGAGAAACAAAAATCCTCAACCATTTCCCTGAAGCTAAGGACCTCAATTTATTTTAATATATGGAAAGATTTTTTTTAAACTCAAATTACTTTTATTATTTGTAACTCAAATTATTTTGGGGCCTAAAATTGCTGAGTTTTATTTTCTTTTACCCTCTGATTTTAAAATATTAACCATACCAGTAAAAGTTGTGCAGAGAAGTGAACCGTAGGAGTAGGGTTTGTCTAGGACTGAATAAATCAGCATTTCCTTACACACAGCCTTGGCCTTCGGCCTGCCACGTTCTCCACAACGCGAGGGAACTGCAAAGCAGAAGGCTGCTTCATGCCTTAACCCGGGCTCAAGCTTCCTACCCCTTGTTATTTCTGCCTCCAAACAGCAATTCGATTAGCTTTTTTTTGGTGATAAAAGATAAAGATTTATTGGACCCCATATATAACTGAAATCAGAATTTCACAGGAGGGTCACAGTCATTAGGGAAGTTTGGAATACTGT